ATAAATGTTATCTAATGGATGGTACACAGGAGAAATCTAAATAGCTATGCTCCCTCCTTTAAAACATTAACACAGATATGAGGGCTTTAAAATACTGAACAGATGAGCAAATCCAAGGCCCCTCTCCAGAATGAGAGCCACAAGCAAACAACCTGTTGGGAACTGGTGTGGTCTTCAGGAATCCATTCAAACCACCTCGTGCTGTTGTTATCAATAAAGGCTTACTGTCATTAAGCAGACTCACCAGAGGTTGGCTGTATTTTAGTAGCTATTCTCCCTTCTAAATTATGACAACTCTACCTAACAGTGTAATGAACAACCAAAAAGAAAATCAAAAATAACTACTAAAAACAAAGTTCTGATTCCTGAATTCTTTCTAAAAGATGACTGGCTCGGATCTCTATCTTCTTTGTTTATTTGACCAGAAACCTAACAATCACTCTTTAATCCCCCAATACACAACAAAGCTCTAAAGAACATCTTTTAAAAGACACTGCTCTAAAAATACGTGACTGAACATGCGCTGGTTAACACTAGTCTAAAACTCCTTTTCCCAACTGCCAATAACCTCGTCACTGAAAAACAAAGTAAATAAAGGTAAGGACATCTGATCAACATAAAAATCAAAACTACTGTTACATACCTCACATTAAACCTGATTTACTAATATATAATATTCAGTAACGTGCTCATGTGTTGCTTTATTTGTTCTCAAGTCACCAGGCTAAGTAACAGTCTTCTACAATAATGAGAATTTTGGCAAAATTCCCAGCACCCTATTCCTACAATGAAGATGGCAACAAGGAAAAGCAAGCACGTATTTCTAGACTAGATTCGGACACACTGCATGAAAGACAACTCCGACCTTCCCTTAAAAACACACCCACTTTTCAACCACACCAACTCACTTACCTCTCCCATAGCTCTCCCCTCCAGAGCAAGTGCTTGAAAATCATGATTTAGTTCATCCATAGAGCGCACCTAGTGTTCAGAATAGAGGGGAAACTTCACGTCAGCATTCTGAATTTTATTTACACACACATTAGACACTACTCAAAAAGTCTATTTTTACTTTGAGAACCAACAAGCACAGTAACAAAATTCAAGTGACTAATATTAAATGTTCACTTACCTTTAACAATCAAGGCTCAGCAATGATGCCTGCTTTATCCCACCCATTCCCTTCTATTTTCAAAGCAAGAAAAAACAGATCATATAACTGTTTGCTACTGCACTTTATTAAAAGACCAGTAAGCTAAATGAAGAGCAATAAGGCTTGGTGATAATTCTGTGACCTAAACCGATTATTGTCTAAAGACAGCAATGCTCCAATAAATAGTCAAGTATTTCCTAGGCAATTCATCTCATGTGACCCAGTATTCATTGATAAATCTCAAGGAAACAGGCTCTAAACTTTACGTTTTTTCATCCCTAGAGGCTTCCAGAACCTCAACCAGGGAGAAAAGAAATAGAAAATATCACAAGAACCCCTCCAACCTTTAAGGCTGTATGCACATCTTAACAGCCTCTCTAAGCTTCCACTTACTTAACTCTAAAGTCATTACTATAAGGTGACAATTGGTAAAGTTGCCCCAAACCTGATGGCTTGACCTAATCCTCAGAGCCCATGAGTACCTCCACATACATGCCATAACACATGCGGTCCTACACACACACACCGCACAAAACAAATTTTTAATGTAATAAATTTAATATTTTATTATTTTATGTGTATGAGTATATGGCCTGCATGTATGTGAGCGCACCCATGTCGTGCAATGCCCTGGAGATCAGAAGAGGGCTTTGGATTCCCCTGGAACTGGAGTTAAGGACGGTTCATAGCCGCCATGTGGGTGCTGGGAATCAAACCCGGGTCCTCTGCAAGAGCAGTCACTGCTCTTAACCTGAGCCATCTCTCCAGCCCAATGTAATAAATTATAAAAATAAAAAATAAAAAGACAACACTAAGAGGGGGGCATGGTGGTGTATACCTTTAATCCCAGAATTTAGGAGACAGAGGCAGAGGATCTCTGTTAGATCAAAGCCAGCTTGGTCTACACAGCAAGTTCCAGGCCATCTGGTCTACAAGGGAGACCCTGTCTCAAACAAAACTAAACAAAAAGAGATAATACTAACAGTGAGGATAAAATATGAAACAGATTTTCAAAGTAGTTATCAATCAAGCCAGGGAACACATGCCTGTAAATCCAGCACTCAGGAGGTACAGATAGAAAGGTTGAAGTTTGAGGCCAACCTATATTGAGACCTTGTCTCAAAAACACCAAAATCCCTTTGCTATCTGCTCGTCTTCTCATTTATGAGCAACAAGCCACTTCTGCTCTCTGATGCCTGTCCCGCAAAGATATTTATTAGAGAGGAAGGCATTTCTACCTACTGAAAAGACTCCTGAAGCAGGAAGCTCATTCCCCCTCCCTGTTGGCTACTACTTTCCCTACGCTAGTGGACAATTTCTAGACGCAGGCAAATGCAAAGGTCAAGCAAGCTACAGCCATGCAGAGAAAGGGAAGAATAAGAAAAGTATGAACCAGAAGGCACTTGAGAATCAATTTAAGATTTTTATCAAAGCACTGCCTGTCACTTACCTAAGAATTTTAGTTTGAATTGACACTATGTAAAAATAGAGTTGCTTTAAATTATGTACTTTTAAAACCCAAAGGTGAAAAATTACCCAACAAATGATACACTGGGTCACTGAGCTGTAACAACTTTGGAATGTTTGCTAAAAATATAAATTTATAATATTCAAACTAGGCATAGTGACCCACATCTTTGAGGTTCCAGCACTTGGAAAATCAACCTGAGCCTATAAAACTGTACGTAATCAAGAGAAGGGGGCTGGAAAGATGGCTCAGCGGTTAAGAGCACTGACTGCTCTTGCAGAGGACCTGGGTTCACTTCGAGCACCCACATGACAGCTTCGAACCGTCCTTAATTCCAGGTCCAGGGGAATTTGATGTCCTCTTCTGACCGCCACAGCACTGCACGACACGGGTGCACTCACATACATGCAGGCAATACACTCATACACATAAAATAAAAATAATAAATAAAAAAAAATTTTTTTTAAAAACCTATTTTTGTCTGTCTACTTGCTAGCCTAAATTAGAGTTCAAAACGACAGAAAAAAGAAACTAAAGCTGAGCCAAGCACAACAGAACTCCAAATTATAAAAAAGTTAATAATTCAAATAGAAATGTATTTTAAGAGTTACAATTCCCTTTTCTTAAAGTAGACATCTGCAAGCATTAATTCTCAAACCACAAAATAATAAAGTAGACACCATAGTAGGCAGTGTAGTCACTAGGCTAAGGGGGTGGAGCTCAGTAGTAAAGGGCTCCACTAGTGTGTGAGTTCAAGTCTCAGCAATATAAAAGTAAAAAATAAAAACAGGGTGAGGCCTCAGCTTTACTGGCCTCCAGTTCTTGGGTTTCTATTTCTCACCTACCCATGGGCGTTTACAACAAATATCCCTTTACTGGCCAGTCTGACCAGTCCTCTGTTATATGTACAAAAGAGCTAAACTCAGACAAAACAGGGTACCAGAGTCAGTATTCACTAGCCCATAGGAGAAGTTTCTATTTTAAAACAAATTAAATCAGCTATACACTATACTTAGAAATGTTTTATTAATTTAGTTCATTTTAATTAATTAAAAGTTAAAAACAAATCAACACTTTTTGAAAATTTTCTGTCAAGAAACGGCAACTTCATGATATACATGCCTAGTCCCATAATGACACCAAAAGTATTTCCCAAGTAAAGGACCAGAACAGGTTAGAAATAAGAAACTGGCCTATTCAGAAATTTGGGGGCTGGAGAGCAATCACAGTGACTAAGAGAACTGATTGCTCTTGCAGAAGACCCAGATTCGATTCCCAACACCCACATGGTGGCTAACAACAGCCCGTAACTCCAGTTCCAGGGGAATCCAACACTCTCTTCTGACCTCGGACATTGTAAAACACGGCGGACTTGCACACATGCAGACAATATACTCATCTACTTAAAAACTCTGTGAATTCAAGGCCAGCCTGGTCTACATAGTAAGTTCCAGGACAGCTGGGGCTACAGGGAGACCCTGTTTCAAAAAGACAAAAATAAAATAAAATAAAAATAATAAATAAATAATAAATAAAAAATAAAGAAATTCAGCCAACAGCTGGCGTAGCAGCGCGCAACCCGCCGCACGCTACAACAGACCATGGTACATGCCTTTTAATCCCAACACTTTAATCCCTGCAGAGGCAGGTAGATCTCTGTGAGGAGGCCAGCCAGTCTGCACAGCAGTACCAGGCCAGCTGGGGATACAGGGAGATCCTGTCTCAAAAAGCCAAAAAGAACTGCAATCTGTGATTTCCCAAGGTTTGGTGGTTGTGCATGCATGCCACTTTGGGTTATGTGTATTCTAATGAATAAGCAGAGGGTGACAGCACAGAAAAGAGAAGAACAAGCAGAAGCAGCACAGCTGAGACTGTAGTACAGACCCATTCAGGAGGCCCCCAGATATACTACTGCTCTGGGGCTCAAAGTTCTTAGTGCTTTCATTAAATGCCCTGAATTTCACCTTGACACTAAATTGCCTTTGCTAGAATGGTTATCTTCTCAGACAGGTAGACTTTTCATCTCCAGTTTTTCATGCCAACTTTTGTTTCCCAGAGGATTTCTCAAACATGCAAGCCTAAATCATTCACTAACGTAGACCCAGAACAATAATAAGCACAAGAGTCAGTGCCAGGAACTATTTAAGGAAGGAGATACCAATAAGAGAAAGCCAGAAAAAAAGAAGAGAAATTAAATGTGAGCAATGAGAAGAGGAAATTGAATATGGGCTAGAATGCAAGCTAGAGCTAAGGATGCATCCCAGTGGTAGAGCACTTGCCTCCCACAAGTAAGGCCCTAATTACTACACCCAACACCCATGTGCAGAAAAAAGAGAGGGCAGTCACTTTTAATCATTACAGTGAAAAACAACTACTGCCTATTCTACAGCATCTTCTGCCCCACTGCCTCTTTTAGCAACAATAACATTACTGAGACTTACCGCCAGTCCTATCCCTATACTTTCTATATTTTAAGAGCTTTTAATAATCGCAATCCCCAAATACCCTAATTTTGTAAGAAAAGCAAGAAGTTATTACGTCCTTATTTAAAATATAGATAGGTCCTTATATAAAATATAGATAGGGTCATCCAAATGGCTGAGTGAGTAAAGGCACTTGTTACCAAAGTCGAAGACCCACATTCAATTCCCAGTACCCAAAATGGTGGAAAGAACCAATTCTCCCAAGTTGTCCTCTAACCTCCACATACACAAAAAAAAATAGTAAATAAATGTAATTTTTAAAATTTTTATTTTGTGTATATTTCGTGTGCATGGATTTAAGTGCATGTGTACATTCAATGCCAGCAGAGGCCAGAAGGGGCATCAGATCCCCTGGAACTGGAATCAGGGATGATTGTTAGCTGCCATGTGGGTACTAGGAACCAAATCCAGGTCCTCTGGAAAACAGCCAGTGCTCTTAACTGCTGAGTCATCTCTCCAGCCCCAATAAATGTAAAATGTTTTATAAATTAAAACATGAAAAAGTATTCTTTCCTAATTACTGAACTAAAAACAAAACTTTAAAAAACTAGGCTAGGAGTGGTGGCACACGCCTTTAATCCCAGCCAGAGAGAGGTCAGACTGAGGCCAGTCTGGTCTGCATAGCAAGTTCCAGGTCAGCTAGTGCTACAAGAGGGTTTGGAGGGAAATGGGCTAGGAGGATATATAGCTCAGGGTAGAGAAGACAATTATCATGATCAGGGTTTGATTCTGGTACTGCCCTAAAGAAAAAACCAAAAGACACCACTCGACTCTTGCAAAAACTCTATCGCAAACTGTATCATGTAATCATAATGGTGAATATTTCCCCTACTTAGTTACTGTCAATACCAACACAAAACACCAGTCGCTGAACTAC